TGAGTGTGAGAGAGAGAGAGAGCGTGTGTGTGTGTGAGTGTGAGAGAGAGAGAGAGCGTGTGTGTGTGTGAGTGTGAGAGAGAGAGAGAGCGTGTGTGTGTGTGAGTGTGAGAGAGAGAGAGAGCGTGTGTGTGTGTGAGTGTGAGAGAGAGAGAGAGCGTGTGTGTGTGTGAGTGTGAGAGAGAGAGAGAGCGTGTGTGTGTGTGAGTGTGAGAGAGAGAGAGAGCGTGTGTGTGTGTGAGTGTGAGAGAGAGAGAGAGCGTGTGTGTGTGTGAGTGTGAGAGAGAGAGAGAGCGTGTGTGTGTGTGAGTGTGAGAGAGAGAGAGAGCGTGTGTGTGTGTGAGTGTGAGAGAGAGAGAGAGCGTGTGTGTGTGTGAGTGTGAGAGAGAGAGAGAGCGTGTGTGTGTGTGAGTGTGAGAGAGAGAGAGAGCGTGTGTGTGTGTGAGTGTGAGAGAGAGAGAGAGCGTGTGTGTGTGTGAGTGTGAGAGAGAGAGAGAGCGTGTGTGTGTGTGAGTGTGAGAGAGAGAGAGAGCGTGTGTGTGTGTGAGTGTGAGAGAGAGAGAGAGCGTGTGTGTGTGTGAGTGTGAGAGAGAGAGAGAGCGTGTGTGTGTGTGAGTGTGAGAGAGAGAGAGAGCGTGTGTGTGTGTGAGTGTGAGAGAGAGAGAGAGCGTGTGTGTGTGTGAGTGTGAGAGAGAGAGAGAGCGTGTGTGTGTGTGAGTGTGAGAGAGAGAGAGAGCGTGTGTGTGTGTGAGTGTGAGAGAGAGAGAGAGCGTGTGTGTGTGTGAGTGTGAGAGAGAGAGAGAGCGTGTGTGTGTGTGAGTGTGAGAGAGAGAGAGAGAGAGAGAGAGTGTGTGTGTGTGTGTGTGTGTGTGTATTATGCTGATGCTGATCACATTCAGATGCTTCTGTTTTCGTGTTGAAGTCCATGTCTCTACACTAAAATCCGCATATGAGTCTCTGGACAAACAACACGAGACAAACTGTTCCTCTCTGCTGTTCATAGAGACGCAGTGACTTCTGCTTTACTCAGTGCTGAAGTGAATTACACTACATCTCTCTCTCTCTCTCTCTCTCTCTCTCTCTCTCCTGCTTCTCTTACTGCAGTAACATTTGCATTTATTCACTACTTATAAGCAACTTTAACCCATTGAATATACAGATTTTTAGAGTATCAGACATTCCATATTCCTCTTGTATGTGCTGAATATTTCACTGATGTAGACTGTCTGTTTTGCTACCTTTATTAGAGCTCAGCAGCAGATTTTGTGTTGCAGAGGACAGAAATGAAGGCTGTGCTGAATTTAATTTAGTTTGACTGGATTTAATACAGTGACCTGCACTGTCTACGGTGAAATAGGTTATTTACAGGTTCAACTGCTCACCTGATCCTTGAAGGTGTGTGTCGGGATAAAGGTAATATTTACACTTTTGGTAATTGACTTAATTAGCATCTTAAATAGTATCATCCACAATTGGGCAAAACTAAATTCAACTAATGATCTAATCGATGTTGTCAGTCTCATTTATAGCCTTGCACAGATTTATAAATTATATTAAATATGTTTAATATTCATAAAGTGTACATTAAATATGTTAACATTAAATTGATATCATCACACAACTTGCTGTATTTAAAAGACCTTGAAATATCTGTTAGAAAAGTGCATGTAGCATTATTCAGGAGTTGATTAAAAAGGCAGTGTTGACAAAAACGAGCATCCAAATGCTTTTTAGAATGAAAAAAAGAATTAGGGAGAGTCAATAAATTATGAACAAGTAACTGCCAATTTGCTGTGTGAATAACCCGTGTTGGAATAACATGTAATCAAGTAATCAATAGAAAAGTAACTGTAATCTGATTATGATATTTTAAAATGCAATATTATCTGATTACAAGTAGTTTATTTCTGGAAACTGATTACATAATGCAGATTGCATGTAGATTGCAGATTGCATTGATCTTTTGACGTTTAACAGGTGATTGTGCTATAACAACATACTGTACATGTCAGAACTCAGAACTTCCTTAATCAAAATCTGGCTTTCATTGAAACCAAGGTGCCAGAATGACTCATTTTCTTCGTCTGGGTTTTTATTGCCTAATAAAGATGAATAAATCAAGCATAAGGCTGTCTGCACAGACACAGATCAACACCTACTTAATCTAAGCCTCTGACTAACCAACTGGCGCATGTTAGTGAAGTTGTTAGTGACACTACAACAGGTTCATTTGGAATAGTAATAGATTTAGATGCCTGCTACATTTCTAGTTCTTAGTTGTGGAGAACTGTGGTCTCTGCTGACCTTCTGAAGTATTCTAACCTTTGGGAAATGGCTCTTTATTTTCAGTGACGTGCCTGATCATGTCAGTAGGGCATAATTATTCGTCACAATTGCATACAAGCTTTGTAAACACACTTTTAATGAAAGATGGACACAACCACAGTGCTGGTCCTGGTATGAATGAATGAATAAATGAATGATGCATTTATATAGCGCTTTCTTGTGTATTGCTGTACACCCAAAGCGCTTTACAATCATGTGGGGGGGTCTCTCCTCAACCACCACCAGTGTGCAGCATCCACTTGGATGATGCGACGGCAGCCACAGGACAACGGCGCCAGTGCTCTCACCACACACCAGCTACAGGTGGAGAGGAGAGAGAGTCATAGAGCCAATCAAGTGGTTGGGGATTATTAGGAGGCCATGATAGACAAGGGCCAGGGGGGCAATTTGGCCAGGACACCGGGGTTACACCCCTACTCTTTACGAGAAGTGCCATGGGATTTTTAATGACCACAGAGAGTCAGGACCTCGGTTTAACGACTCATCCGAAAGATGGGTATGTGAGCTTGCACTGAACAAAACTCTGGTCGTTGCATTTGTGCATTCATCACTGGCTACAACGTGCAGTGCTGGAAAAACACATTGTTAAAGGAGCCTTTGGTGTAAACAACACTGTAATCCATACCTTCCACATTTAATCGCAGCAACTGTGTTTTATCTGTTCCAATTGTACAATAGAGTGCTGCAGGGGGACGTATTTTTGTAGACCAAAACCGAGTTAGCATTTTAGCATTTCTGGTTCCATCGTCCTGAAGTCAATGGGCTTTCTGGTAGTGTAGGCAAGGCACATTTTATTTAACACGACCGTGGTTGATCCAAAGTGCTTTATGATAAAAAAATAAACCTGAATTTAAAAGAGAAAAAAAGACAAAGGAAAATAAAACAAGTATCAAAAACAATGAATGTAAATACATAAAACACAATTTAACACCAATTCAACCATTTAAAATACATATATAGCATCACTCAAATGCTAGAGAGTAAAAACAAGTCTTTAAGCTGGATTTAAAAGCATCCAGTGATGGAGAAGCTCTGATGTTCAAAGGCAGAATGTTTCACAGTGTTATTAATGCATTAATTACAATTTCAAGGTCTTTACTAGAAAAAAAGAGCTTCAGGTTTAGATGTTAATGTTTATTGAAAAAAATAAAATTTGAAGTCACTGTTGTGTAGATAAGTGTTTGCTTTAGTTGGGCTCTTGACCCTTGACTTTCTAACATTAGTTTTTCTCTGATTGCTGTAATTGTGTTTATGACACACATTTGTTACGGCATGAGAAAATGCTATTCAGTTGTATGGGCTGTTTTTTAATGATGCAATTTACATGTATAGCCTGACTCACATCAACAGTGTGATGTGTAATTTAGTTTATTTATCACAACTGTGTTTTTATGAAATAATATGAAGCGCTTTAAAAAACACTTTGCACACCAGTATAGAACATCTGTACTGTTTAGACACGCAGACATCAAGAATCAGCATAAGAATCTCATCAATGGTGACGATCATCAGACAGATTCATGCTGCAGTGCATTCTGGGTGCACCAATCATAACTCATCCATGGCTCCCAGCATGCATTGCGACATGAATAAATTATGCAGCTGCATTGTCTTAGGATTTTCTTTTATTCTTACTATTTGCTTTTATTTTTGTTGTGACTTTTACTGCCTTGTTTTGTGATGTTCAAAAATCATATCAAAATTATCAGAATATTTTGTCGCCATTGCTGAGATTCACATGCTGATTCTTCATGTCTATTAGTGACAGCATTTAAATCTCTTTGTGAGCCACTTCTAAAAGTGGTGTATAAAGTTTTCTCACATTGTCACCTCATATCACAGAACTGCAATAATATAGCAATCATAAAAGCACTAGAGTTAGATAAAACGCAGTCACAGACACATTAAATGATGTAACTTAATCACGTAATTATCTCATTAACTTTAACACTCTTTTAGAGTGGGACCATATATGCTCTGAGCAGTGTTAATTTAACACTCGGGATTTTACTGTGCCCTTTTGCCACTGATCTGAGATGAAAAAAGCTACTCTTTACAACTGCATTTACATGCTTGCCAAATTGGAGGAGAGGATCAAAATGGATTCCAAGATTTTTTGCATGATTGTTTAGGTTATTACTTGAGAAACCTAACTGTGTTTTAATAGAGTTGTTAGCAAGACCCAGTAAACAGCAAAAAGTCCAGTGTTGAATTAACTCTCAGAGTTGAATTAACACTTTCAAAATAATGAAACATTTAACATTATGCCAGAGTTCCTTATTTGACTCTTAAAAAAAAAAAGTGTTAAAATAACAGTTTAGAGTTGCATGTTTTAGGTGGTTAGAATTTGTTTCACTGTACGGTCTCAAAAGATCTACAAAACACATTAAATATACTGAAAACACAGTTAAATCAACTACAACACACAACATCATTTCCATCAACGTGTTTATTTTAATTCTCCCTTGCAGTGCAATTTGAAGTTGAATTAAAACATTTAAAAAAAAAGAAATGATTTACAAACTTCCATGCGCAACACTATATGAGTTTTGAATATCAAATGGCTCATAAAATGTAATCTCGGACATTTTTATAATACACCTCACTTCGTAGTACTCTGAATGCATGAAGATGCTCATCAAAATGTGTAGGAATGTATAAAAGTTCACAAGTGCATTATCATATGACAAATTGAACACAAAATGTGCCTTTAAAAGGAGAAACGGATGCTGACGCTGGTTGTTGCTGAGGTGCTTCTCCAAACTGCAGCATGACTAGAGTTGAAATGAAATCTGAACATTAGACATAAACAATGTGCAGTCACAGAGAAAACAACATTATAAAAGTGATTGTTCAAACAATGACCCACAACACATTTGTAAAGTGCTACTACGGTATGATAGATTACATGGCTTTCAGCAGCATCGCATGCACTTTTTGGAGACTTCAGTCCTCCTGGTAGTGGTGGAAGCGATGCCATTTCCTGGCCGTAGACTGAAGACAAAGATTCACATGAATTAATTAATGGGAATCTTCAAATGTAATACTTTTTAAGTTTAAGAACAGAGATCATTTTAAACATTCATCTACCTGTTGAGGAAGAAGGCTGTCTGGTGGCATCGCTCCTCGACAAATATTCCTCTGGACTGTTTTTATTACACCAGGCAATGTATCCTGCGTTGCTTGCAGCATCATAAAAGCGTTCCTGAAACAGATTTTTTTTAAATCCTTTGTCATATTCAGGCTAAAATCTCAAAGTATCAAATTTCAATGTCATAGAAACGGCCTGTCACAACATTGTATGACAAACAATGACTACGTTTACATGGACATCAGTAATCTAATTATTTACCTTATTCTGAACAAGACAATATTATGACTGAGGTGTTTACATGAGTTGCTTTTAGAATATTCCTCTCATGTTCCCGTTTTACATGTCATAGTATAAATCGATTAATGGCATGTCATTATGTCCACACGCGATGCCATCCGACGACCCCTCCGGAATTTCACATAAACATATAGTTCGTCTTCGTTGCGCATGAAATATCGCATGCGATTTATCGTGCAGCCCTAGTTTACATGGTAGATAATTAATCAGAATATTGTCTTAATCGTGTTAAAATCAGAACATCGTTGTCCATGTAAATGCACTCAGTGACTTAGGTAGCCTTTCTTGGAATATGGATCTCGGAGGGAAGGGATCAGCATCACTATGCTAAGAGCATTCTGTTTTCTGATTGCTTTAATAGAGAGTTGCCTAAGGGAAGATATCAAACTAGCAGAAAGTAAAAGTCCTGCCATATGTTTATTCCACCCATGAACTCAACCTGCTGATTTCACCAGCGGTGGGACCAAATCATTAGGCTTGTTCGACTTCATGCGGCGCCGCAAAGATCGGCTGCCGCCTAACAAAAGCCATGCATTCTGGTTTGAACATTTGTCCGACTTTGATCGGCACTGCAGCCGCCTTACGATCACGTGTGCCATCAAAGTACCGTGAGAGCAAAACGAGAGCAGCCGCTGAGGTCAGCCGCTGAGGTCAGGCGCTGAGGTCAGCCGCTGAGGTCAGGCGCTGCAGTTGCTCAAAATCGGCTGCGAAAGCCTTGATGACGACACACTTTATTCTCATTGGTCAGATTCTGTGATGACAAGCACGACGTGTGTTGCGTGTTTATTCGAATAATTCAGTTCCAATAATGCTCACAAATCTGTTTTTATAACAGTAAAAGCTTTTTTAGTGCAGTCGCACTGTTATCTTGAGTCATTTTTATTGAAAACACAGAAAAAAGCATATATACCCCCACTCTATTGGTATTTAGTAGCCTATGTGTATGCTGAACTTTATTCTTGAACAGATGGCGCTGTATTAATCAGTATAAGAAGTGTTTCTGTTGCTCATGAAAACGTTTCTGTGTATATTCAGATATTGCATGTTATTCAGTTCATCTGTGATAAGACTATGCAAACACTGTGAGAGCGTCGCTACCAGGAGCAGAAAGTGTCCGACTTGACGTCTTTAATTCCGCCCCGACTGCAAGCAGCTGCTCTCGTCAGCCGGTGGCAGGCTAGTATAGTTCATCTTGAACAAGCCTATTCCTGTCAAGTCACAAGCAAGTCTCAAGTCAAATCCCATGTCCTCAAAGAGTTAAAGTTAATGAGATCATTTAGTGACTAATTAAAATATTATGATTAAGGTGTTTACATGAGTTGCTTTTAGAATATTCCTCTCATGTTCCCGTTTTACATGTCATAGTATAAATCGATTAATGGCATGTCATTATGTCCACACGCGATGCCATCCGACGACCCCTCCGGAATTTCACATAAACATATAGTTCGTCTTCGTTATGAAGCCATATACAGTTTTGGGTGTTTAATTTTTAATTTTATGAAAGCTTCAAGTGCAGTTAATTATTTGTCATGCTATACGTGCAAACAGACCACAGCGTTGTTGAAGCCATGCTCTTTTGTTTGCCGTCAAATGCTGTGTGTGCATCCTGTCGCAAAATGCGGTGAAAAGTCCTACACGACGGTAATAATGTGATTAAGGTGTGTACATGTCTAGACTGCACTTTAATAATGTAACTAAAATAGGAATACGCCACATGTATTAATTCGATTTGTGTTTACTTCGAGAATGACTTTAGCCGGATTAAGGTAATCAAAAATCTTTGTTTACATGGTAGAATTCTCATTGGTCAGATTCTGTGATGACAAGCACAACGTGTTTTGTGCTTATTCTAACAATTCAGTTCCAATAATGCTCACAAATCTGTTTTTATAACAGTAAAAGCTTTTTTAGTGCAGTCGCACTGTTATCTTGAGTCATTTTTATTGAAAACACAGAAAAAAGCATATATACCCCCACTCTATTGGTATTTAGTAGCCTATGTGTATGCTGAACTTTATTCTTGAACAGATGGCGCTGTATTAATCAGTATAAGAAGTGTTTCTGTTGCTCATGAAAACGTTTCTGTGTATATTCAGATATTGCATGTTATTCAGTTCATCTGTGATAAGACTATGCAAACACTGTGAGAGCGTCGCTACCAGGAGCAGAAAGTGTCCGACTTGACGTCTTTAATTCCGCCCCGACTGCAAGCAGCTGCTCTCGTCAGCCGGTGGCAGGCTAGTATAGTTCATCTTGAACAAGCCTATTCCTGTCAAGTCACAAGCAAGTCTCAAGTCAAATCCCATGTCCTCAAAGAGTTAAAGTTAATGAGATCATTTAGTGACTAATTAAATGATGATTGTGCATTAGTGATGAACACCTGCTGTTATTGAGAATTACAGAGGATCAGATGTTGATGTTTTATTGGTTAAAATGATGCCACCATCATGGAGATCAGTGTTTGCTTTAGTTGAGCTCTTGACCCTTGAGCTCTTGTGTTAGATCTTTCTTTGTGATACTGTATGTAATGTTTTGAAGCAGAGAGCTCAGTGCTGCACAGTGTGTTGTTATTAGCTGTTTTATATGATGAGTTTACATCATGAGCTGTCCTGAATACATCCAAAATAACGTTTTTGTTTCATTTATATGTTTAGGTTTTGCATAACCAACACTGTGAAACTACAGCGCTAATAGTCGTAGAGAATGAATTTTAAATCTATGTAATGCAAATACAAATTTGAGCTCCTGTGCTAGTTTGACACACACAGACATCAAGAACCAGCATATGAATCTCAACAATGGTGACAATCAACAAAATGCTTCACGCTGCAATGCATGATGGGTAACACCATAGTACAAACTCCCATCATGCACTGCAGTATGAAAACTTATTGTCACCACTGTTGAGGATCGTATAAGTGTTCATGTCTAAAAGCCTGAACCCATGTAGTTCTCTTTTATTCAGTATTGAATATGGTAGCATTTGTTTAATATGACTTTTTTCTTCAGTTCAGTAATAGCTGAAAGTCAGTCAATAGACCAAAGAGAGAAACCACTTCATGATGTTCATTCAAATGGGTTATAAGCAGCAAATAGAAGTTAATCTGCGACTTCAAGGTTTGATTCAGCAATGCACAAATGTTTGTTGTGAAACAATATTGCAATTACTTAAAAGCAAATTATTTTGAATTATTAAAAGGGTCAAGAGACAAACTAAAGCAAACCTTGACCACAATTATGGTGGCATTGTGTGTTTTTTTTTTCCAGTTGATTCCATCCAAGGCTGTGACTGAAGTTAGATGTAGTTCTTGTTTTTCTAATGCACAATCCTCATTTAATTAGTCACTTAATTATCTCATTAACGTTAACTCTGAGGACTTGGGATTTGACTTGAGACTTGCTTGTGACTTGAAAGGAATTATTTGGTTCCACCTCTGATGAAATCAGCTGGTTGAGTTCATGGCTGGAATAAACATATGGCAGGACTTGTACTTTCTGACCCCTGGACTTTACATCTCTGCAAACTAGTTATCTTAAAGAGGTCATATGATGTTGCTAAAAAGAACATTATTTTGTGTATTTGGTGTAATGAAATGTGTTTATGCGGTTTAAGGTTAAAAAAACACATTATTTTCCACATACTGTACATTATTGTTTCTCCTCTATGCCCCGCCTTTCTGAAATGCGTCGATTTTTACAAAGCTCATCGGTCTGAAAAGCGAGGTGTGCTGTGATTGGCCAGCTATCCAGTGCGTTGTGATTGGCCGAATACCTCAAGCGTGTGACGGATATGTTACGCCCCTCACATACTGTTGTAACCATCCCAGTGAAATTTGGGCAAAATCACAAAATAATTTAGGGGAGGGTCCCTCAACTGAAAACGACACATAACACAGTAGTGCATTACAAAATGTTTATATAAATAAAGGCAATCCACAGATCATTACGGCATGTGAGCAACGTTACTAGAATAGACAACAATGTCGTCAATATAGACCATGCAGCACTTTCCTTTAACCTCCCGTAACAAATGTTCCATGAGTCTTTGGAATGATGCAGTGGAGTTTTTCAGCCCAAACGGGAGACAAAGAAATTCATATAACCCTGAGGAGGTAACAAAGGCTGTCTTCTCAACACTGTCCACTTCCATTTCCATTTGCCAGTAACCACTTTTTAAATCAAGGGTGCTAAAAACAGTGGCACCATGCAAAGACTCTAAAATGTCCTGAATTTGGGGCATTGGGTAGGCGTCTAGATGTGTCTTAGCATTAAGACCCCTATAATCAACACAAAACCTAGAACTTCCCTCCTTCTTCGGTACAACAACCACTGGTGCTGCCCAGGGTGAAACAGAGGGTCGAATAATCAGTTTCTCCAAAAACTCTTGAACTTGAGCCTCAATGAACTGGTGTTTCTCCACTGAAACCTTGTACGCTCTTTTTCTTACAGGGATCTCATCTATGGTAGTGATACGATGTTTGACACAATTTGTTCTGCCAAGCTGTTGAGTGCACACTGTGGGCCAACTTAACATTAACTCCTCCAACTTTTTTCGAATGATAGAGTCTGAATCTACCATTTGTGCGATTCGTAGAATCTGCTGGTGGTCTTCTAGACTAACAGTGGGCATGGCCAAATAAAAATAATTGGAAGAGTGCCCATTGTAGTGCGTAAAAGGAAAAATCTTGGGTTCCGTTGAGGTAGGTAACTGGTACTGTGCTTTTTTAAAATCCAATACCATCTGGGACTTTAATAAAAAATAAATTCCCAGG